AATGATATATCAATTGTTTTTAAAATATCTTTACTCAAGTGAAACTTCGAAAAGAAAGCAATAGTTACAATATTCAAAATACAGCGAAAGTGCCGTATACAGTATAGTATATCAATCGTTCTTATCAATAAAATTTCAATCAAACCAACTTTAGCTTCCTCATAAAATAAAAATAAAAATAACGAATAATGAGACACACGGCGCATTTATTTGTTTCACCTTACTTCAAATTTACACAGTGTACGGATTTGTTTGTCATAATACAAACAATAAATGCTTCTTTTATGGCCTAATTTTCATTTTTATTAATCATATGAAGTGTTCGCGTGTCTTTACGTGCACCAATACTATCCATTGATCTTGTTCCTTCGCACCACAGATTGATAAAGGTTTAATTTGCATATATATACCTCTGAATATTTTGTGAGGTATGCAAACTTTATCCTTGACCTTTATTCGTTTTCTTTTCTTTTCTTTTTAAAGAACAAACACTATGGTTATCAAGATCGGTATCAATGGGTAAAGTATTTTCCCCATGTTTCTTCAACTAAGAATGTGCTTCTTATGTTATTCGCCTCCCACGAATATTGTCATCTTAGTTTTGGACGTATCGGCCGTCTTGTCCTTCGAGCGTCACTAAGTAACTCGGAGATTCGTGTCGTTGCTTTAAATGATCCTTTCATGGACCTCGAATACATGGTACCTGATTAATCTAGTTCGTTTCATCCACAATTATGGCCATCGATTCAATCTCATAATCTACGTAGGTTTACCTCTTCAAATATGATTCATCTCACGGGCGCTTCAAAGGCTCTGTCGAAGCCAGAAATGGAAAGTTTGTCGTGAACGATTACGAAATTTCCGTCTTTTCAGAAAAAAATCCCGCCGATATTAAATGGGGTGAAGTCGGCGCGGACTACGTAGTTGAATCTAGTGGCGTCTTCACAACCACCGAAAAGGCATCGGCTCATTTAAAAGGTAATTTCTTTGCCATCTCGGATTACTTTTGACACTCGTTCATATAATTTCATTCAAAAATTCGATTTGCCATTTAGGGGTTTGTATCATTAATATCGTTATCGTGTCGAAGGTTATTTGTTACATTTTATCGATATCAGTTAATCATCTCATCCTACCGTCTCATACCAGGGAGCGAAGAAGGTTTGCCAATAAATTTTCAGTTTCATGTTGTGTCCACGCAATCAATAACATGAACGATATGACATGAATAGGTCATTATTAGCGCACCCAGTCCTGACGCACCAATGTTTGTGGTCGGTGTAAACTTAGATGAATATAAACCTGAATACAAGATTATTTCCAATGCTTCTTGTACTACCAATTGCTTGGCACCTCTCGCAAAGATTATCCATGATAAATTTGGTATCGTAGAAGGATTGATGACCACAATTCATTCAACCACTGCCACTCAAAAGACCGTAGATGGACCTTCTGCGAAGGCATGTCGCCTATTTATTCATTTGCGTTAGTTTTTGATGTTTATTTGTTAAGGCACTTTCATTATCTCGAGATTTTATTTTGCATTATAGGATTGGAGAAGGGGAAGAGGTGCAGGTGTGTGTAATACAGAGGATCCACTCGTAACTTTAATTTAAAATTATCTAAGTTATATATTTCTATCTTCGTTAGCCCAAAACATCATTCCAAGCTCAACCGGGGCAGCAAAAGCAGTTGGAAGGGTGCGCATGGCGTTTTCCTGTTGTTTCCTCAAGAAAACGAGCCTAATTTCATCTAATTATTAGGTTATTCCTTCTTTGAATAACAAACTGACTGGGATGGCTTTCAGAATTCCTACCACCATCGTTTCAGCCGTTGACCTTACTGTACGTTTGGCGAAAGAAACGACTTACGATGAAATTAAGGCAGCCGTTAAGCATGCGTCAGAGCACGAAATGAAGGGAGTTCTTGCTTACACTGAAGATCAGGTACGATTAAATTTCAGTCCTTTCTTCTGCCTTTAGTATTTGTCACCCCCATAAAACAGCGTATCTCGTTTCATTACTAGGTTGTATCTACTGACTTCGTTAGTGACTCTCACTCTAGTATTTTTGATGCAAGTGCTGGTTAGTAAAAATCTTCAAAACTCGGAAGTATTATTGCAATAATTAACCATCTGTTTATAGGCATCCAGTTGAATCCGTCATTTGTCAAACTTGTTGCTTGGTATGATAACGAATGTAAGTATTATTGCGAATATGCGATGTCCATTACACATTTAAGGTATTTCTGCTATCAAGCGGATTCCTAATAATTCTTGTTTCGCCGAATAATTTAGATGGTTATTCCGTTCGTGTTGTCGACTTGATTGAGCACATTTCGAAAATAGACGCCTGTTCTTGAGTAATTTATTTTCTTCGTCTGAAAAATAATTATGAATGATTTAAAATTGTATTATTATTATGGATTTATTTATTAAAAAAAAGAAAGCTGCAAGTATAAATTAAATTAATCGATATTTTTATTGTCAAACGTCACACAAAGTAATATCATGCGATTAAATGCAAATAAATAAACACCGTAACAAAGAAAATAAATAACAAAACAAATTATTGAAAAGTTGTTTCTCTTCTTTTTTTTTTTTTGCACACACATCTATAAATAATTCAAATTATTAATAAACCTATTATAGACAGAATCATAATAAATACCTTTTTTTTCTTTCCTAAGTAGATTTTTTAAATTTGATTTTTAATTAAAATTATATCTCACAAATATATATTGTCAACCTATCCAATAACCCCCAAATCAGATAGATAGATAGGACAACTATAACAGTAATCCACTTTAAGTTGAGGGAGAATACCTTGATCATGATATACTAAAGTTGATAATTCAAGAATAGTAGATATTACACAAACATGTTAAAAGAGATTTTGGATAATTTGATTTAATTAAAAGG